TTTCTCTTCCTTTCCATTAGAAATCTTAGCACGGATTGATTCCACATCACGGTTTCCTCGTTGTGCCTCTATGACCTTACTAACCATGGTAGGTTGAGCATTCAAAGTAAATAAGGTAGCACTCTCTCCGGACTCACCCAAGTGCAAATCAAACTTGCCAATAACATCTATCATATCCCATTCCCGAATGGCTACACTTGCCAAACTACTCACAGATTTTCGACTCAAAGCATCGGCCACCACACTGGCTTTCCCCGGATGATAGTGTAACTCAAAGCCATAATCCTTCATAAATTACATCCACCTCCGTTGTCGTAAATTCAAATCTTTTTGAGAAAACAAATACTTCAGACTCTTATGATCGGAGAAAATCTCAAATTTCTCACCATACAAGTAATGCCTCCAAATTTTCAAGGCAAAAATGACTGCCGCTAATTCTAAATCATGGGTGGGGTAATTCTTCTCGTGAGTTTTCAAGTGTCATGAGCCACAACTTTTCCCTCTTACATCAAGACACAACCAAGTTCATCCCCGAATGTATCACAATAAACAGTGTAATTCAAACCCCTTTTCAGAATTATCAAAACCGGTGCGGTAGTCAATCTAGTCTTAAGCTCTTGGAATGAATTTTCACAAGCCTCACTTCACACAAATTTGATATCCTTTCTAGTCAACCTAGTCAAAGGTGCAGCTAGTCTAGAGAAGTCCCTAACAAAACGTCGATAATACCATGGCAATCCCAAGAAACTCCGGATTTCAAAAACATTATTTGGTTGTTCCCAATCCTGTACGGCATCTATCTTTGAGGAGTCCACAGTCACTCCCTCTCTAGACACTACATGCCCCAAACACTTCACTTCTGTTAACCAAAACTCGCACTTTTCAAATTTGGCATACAATTGGTGCTCATTAAGTAAACCCAGCACTACCCGCAAGTGAGTTTCGTGTTCCTCTTCAGAGGTTAAATAAATCAAGATGTCGTCCACAAAGACAACCACAAAACGGTCCAAGTATTCTCGAAAAATTATGTTCATCAAATCCATAAAGGAAGCCGCTGCATTGGTCAACCCAAAAGGCATTACAAGGAATTCATAGTGGTCATAACGAGTACGAAAGGTCGTCTTCTGAATGTCCTCTTGGACTCTTAACTGATGGTACCCCGACCTCAAATCTGTTTTTGAGAAGCAATGAGACCCTCTAAGTTGGTCAAACAAATCATCTATTCTGGGTAGAGGATACTTGTTCTTAACTGTAACTCTATTCAACTTGCAGTAATCAATACACAACCGCAATGACCCATCCTTCTTCTTCGCAAAGAGAGCCGGCGCTCCCTAAGGCGATGTACTAGGGCGAATGAAGCCCTTGTCTAAAAGCTCTTGGAGTTGAATCTTCAACTCACGCAATTCGGCAGGTGCAAATCTATACGGTGACATGGAAATCGGTGCCGTGCCAGGCACTAATTCAATGGAGAACTCGATCCCGTCACTCTCACTATCCAAGAGAGTTGCAAGAAGACCACTAAGCTTGCTCCTACTACGAGGGTCAACAACTGGCAACAAGGCTCTATCAACTCGGTTCCTCAGAAAATAGAAACGATCACTATCCAAAGTGCACATTGTAACTCTCTAACGGTAACAATCAATCACAGCTTGATAAGAACACAACCAGTCCATGCCTAAAATGACATCAAAACTCAACATATCTGCAACACAAAAGCAAACGGAAGTCGACGCCCGGCAACTTCTATTTCACAACCACGACAACCCCGGTCTAAATCAACTGTACCCCCAACAGGTGACTCTACTCTGAGTAGAGGCACTAATCGTGCTACCTCTAACCCCAATGCAGAAGCAAATGCAGTAGATATAAATGAATGAAACGCACCCGTGTCTATCAATACATTAGCCAAAGAATTACACAACAAAAATATCCCTCACAAATGAGGATTCTGGCAACTGCTCTGGCACAGTAACAGCATACACACGCCCCTGTGGCCCTTGATTAACTTGCTCTCCTCTCAGAGCATAGGCCTGTTGTACTGACCGAGCCGAAGTGGCTCCCTGATTAACTCACAAAGCTTGGACTGATTGAACCTGCTGGTGGCTCTGAGTCTGCCTCGACCCTGATGAGCCAGATGCGCCTTCCAACTGTGGGCAAGTTCTCTTCATATGCCCCAGCTGACCACACTGATAACAATTAAACCCTTGACCTTTATTTTGAGACTGAGACTGACTTTGAGATCGGTTAGGTGGTGGTAACATTAACTACCCTCCTCCCTTTTGTGGGCATGAGAAGGCTTTGTGACCCTGTTGGCCACACTTGAAACACGAGAAGCTACTCGATGCACTTTTTCTCGAACCCACACTAGGCAAAGGAAAAGTGGATCTAGACTGCTGTGGTTAGGACTAGGATGGATAGGTGTTCCTGCTCTTCTTGTTCTGCCTATAGTCCCCTTGAGACTCTTGGCCCCTAGACCTCGAACTCCAAAGCCTCTCCTCCTTGGCTTGTATGGAAATTTCTACGTGTGTCGCCGTCTCCACATGACGGTCATATTCCCGAATCATATTTTCGACAAGTTTGAACATAATTTTTGTTTTCAATTTCTTTTCAAATTCAATGCAACGGCGCTCTTCCATTGCTGCTAACTCTGGTGCAAATCCAGACAAACTAGAGAAGATCGCCTCAAACTCAGCCACGGGCATGTCGAGTTGTTTGAGGTCTTTAAACTCTTGCCTCAATCTCTCCCTAGCAGTGGGAGATATGTACTTATCTTGGAAAGCAACCGCAAAGGCTTCCCATGTCGGCTCCACTCTACCCTTGGCATATTTCCACCATTGACCCGCGTCTCCCTTAAGGTAGTAACTCGCTAAAGTTACTCTCAGTTCACTATCTTCGATGCGAAGCATCTCAAATGTCTTCACAATTTGTTCGAGCCACTCATCCGCTTTCTTAGGCTTGGGACCACTATGGAACTCATCCGATTTGGCCCGCAAGAACTCTCTAGTAAGGAAACTCGCCCTTGACTCCGCGGTGTTCTCTCGGGCTTGATTCTCCACCCTCAACAAGTTCATAGACTCTTTTAAAGCCCCTGCCATTTCTCGAGCTAGGGCCCCCATTGCGATTGGACCCGCTTGTCCCACCTGCTCGGCTACATCAGCTTGGCCGAACCCTTCTTCTTGCACTGGAACCCTATGGACCGGTTCCTCATGCACACCTTGGCAAGCCCTACCACGCCTCCCGCCTCTACCACCACGGACTTGACTCCTTCCTGACATCCTAATAAAGGACACAAGAGAAATAATTTAGCACATTAATTCATATGTGCTCGTAACTTGACACACACGTTCGACTATAACAATTCTATATATTTCTCTACCATATACACAATTCAATTTCACTCCACATAAGCACTTAGTCATGTAAACACATACGGACTGTTCTTTTACGATGAAATCCGTCCCACGAAAAATCAAGAATTCTTAGTAGAACGAGTATTGATCAAGTACCTTTCTAATGAGTCCTCAAGGAATTTAAAAGGCGCAAACAACTTCCCAAAAGTCCAATTCCATACCCATTTAGTTACATAAGCATGTTATCACATAGTGACAAAATGCATAACACTTTCTAAGCATGCTAAATAAACCCGTTGTGGTTAAACAACCACTTCCCACGAGCTTCAAGTATTCAAACCCGGTAGCTCTGATACCAAGTTGTAACACCCCAATTTTCATACCCAAATGATAATACAATAATCATGGCTCTTCAAGGTAAATCTGAAAATAAATCTCCACACTTGCATTACATGATACAAATAGTTTTCATGCGATAACACATTCGCTTCAAATCAAATAACATAAACAAATAAATACCCTCATGGGTTCACAAGTTCCCAAGGCTTAGGCCCGGTTATACAATCGGTTATTCAAACCACACAAATATATGGAGCCTTCACCCATAAGTCATGGGATCTTGATTTTATTCTAATCCCAAAACTCCCCCTCAAGCTAATGCAAAAATGTCAAGCAAACCCAACTGGACAATTGATGATTGGAGCAGTGACAGTCCCACTAACTTGGTAATTATGTCTGTGGTCTGTTATGATGAAGAAACAAATGACGGAAATAGAATGCTTGACTGAACTTTTTTCCTGAATAAAATTGATAGCCACCTCTATATGCTTGGACCTCTCATGAGGAACTGAAATGAGGCAAGCATGATTGCAGATTTATTGTCACAAAATAATTGAGATGACTCTTTTCCTAAGGGCCTATTTTAGAGTATAGCAGGAAGCGGCATTGTGTACCAACAATTATCTAGTTGGTCCTATTCGGCCTTGGCATCCTCGGGTAGGACGTCTATTCATCTTCCAACAATGCTCCGAAGTGTGCTTTGTCTTGCCACAATAGTCACACTTGAGCTGATCTTTATTATTAACCTGAGATAGCCCCCCCGTGTATATCTAGACAACAGGATAACTGCTGAAGTGGATATGTCCTATGGAACATAATGGAGCATTGAGGTCCTCTTACTTTCTTCCTATTGAATAGATGGATAGGCTTGTGACTCAGTGGAATACACGCAGAAACTAGATATGGTTCTAGTAGTCGAAGGGGACTCCTGAATTCACGAGAAATATAGAATATTGAATCCACAAGGAAGAGAAATTTCAGAATGTTATTGACAAGAGAGTTGTAATTACCCTAAGGCTTACAAGTTACATAGGTATTTGTAATAAGCTAACGCCGACGAATACTCTTAGGAAGCAAAGATCTGCAAGAATAATAGTATAAAGTACATCAAACTGTGCAATTGGCCAACGTTTTCTATCCAACACTGAAGGATTTAATAGATGACAAAAACCTACATGAGGTCCTTTTTTGCTGCAGTCTTGTTCTTCTATAACACAATTAGTTGGGCCGCAAGTACACCACCAATAAAAATAGTTTCAGTTTATCAGTCTACTATGAGAAACTTCTAAAATGATTTCCTTGATAACACAGGTTATTTATCGAATAAAACTTCCAGGACCTGCTATCTTGGGTGAGGGCAAGCCAGAAAATCAGAATCATGCCATAATCTTCACACGTGGAGAAGGCTTGCAAGCAATAGATATGAATCAGGTATTGTGTTCTCATACTTACTTGACATCAGCATAATATTGCAGAGTTGTATTAGCTTTGTTAAAATATTCATTTCCAGGACAACTACATGGAAGAAGCCTTAAAGATGAGGAACCTGCTTCAAGAATTTCTTAAAAAACATGATGGTGTGAGGCACCCGACAATACTTGGACTTAGGGAGCACATATTTACTGGAAGGTATGTACCTTTCTGTTGCTAATTGGTCTCGGATTCAATTCATATTGCCTCATTTTCCTTTTCTTCATTAAATTGCTTATTGTTCTCTTGGTATTTGATGCAGTGTTTCTTCTCTTGCATGGTTCATGTCAAATCAAGAGACAAGCTTTGTAACTATTGGTCAGAGATTGTTGGCAGACCCTTTAAAGTAATCTTTTTTATTTTTTTAATCTTGGAGTAGACAATTTGTTTTCTTCTCTCTTTTTTTTAATTTTATTTTTTGTAGGTTCTCTCCTTTAGTTTTAGCATGTGGGTGGTCAATGATTAAAATTTAATTTTCTACTCTCGCACCCTTATAAATGCGTCCTTTCTTAATCAATAAAATTCTCTTTTGCAATGTAAATAAAGAAAAATAAAAGAAATTCAAGGTTGAGTTTTGTGAAACGAAAAGGATCATTTTGGTCTCAAGAAGAGAAGATCAAACAAGTTCAGAAAAAAAAATAATAATACAATAGATAGCCCTAGTCTTTTAGTTGTCTCTCAGCTTGGTTCAAAACCTGAGCTAGTGAATACTCGAAAATAAGTACTGGAAGCAATTCCATTACAAATAATTGTTCATAATGACTGGTGGTTATGATATCTAAAACACAAATGAGACAGCATTAAGGTGTTTCTTGTGTATGTAAGAATTCATGAAGAAAAGATGTATTATTACATGGCTATTGAATCTCTTAAATAAAGATACACCAAATCGAAGTAGGAAAAGTACTGAATAGGAAACTTCTAACCTAAATTGCAATAAGAAAGATACCAAAAATATATAATTCCAAAATATAATATACATTTCACACAATCTAGTTATCATAGTAGAGAGGAGTTGGAGAAGGCGAATAAATTCCCAAGCCAATGAGAAGCCAACGAAGCCAAATGAGTTCAGATGTAGCATGGGCAATACTCAGCCTCAACAATAGGCTGAGCAATAATAAATTGCTTCTTTCTCTTCTAGGAGATGAGGGAATTGTCAAGAAAAATACAAAGGCCAGTGCTAGACTTGCAATCAAAAACATCACCAACCCAATCAACATTGGCATAGGTCTAAAGAGTCAGAGAAGAGGTAGAAGACAAGAGTAAACCCTAAAAGATAGTGCCAGTAACATACCACAAAACTCGAAGTAGAGCAGCCTAATGAGTAGTGCGTGAAGCGGAAACAAATTGGCTAACCATATGCACAACATATGCAATATCAGGACGAGTCACAATGTGGTAGATCAAACAACCAACCAACTCCTGATACAAAGTGAGATCCTAAAGTGGAACACCATTAGTAGCAGAAAACTTGGCATGAAGTTCAATCAGGGTATCAATTGTCTTAGTATCAGTGAGACAAACACGATGGACAACCTTAGTGGCATACTTAGTTGGGGACAAAAAAAATAGCCTTTTGGAGAAGACACCACTTCAATACCAAGAAAGTATCGCAGGGGACCCAAATCTTTCATCTCAAAAGTATGAAACAGATGTTGTTTAACAATGGTAATAGATGAAGAATCAGACCCAGTGATGATCATATCATCAACATATAGGAGCAAAGCAACAAAGCCAACATAGGTATGGAGAAGGAACATAACAGGATCATGGGCACTAGGTCGAAAACCAAGTTGGGTAACAACAGACATAAAGCAATCATACCAAGCTTGGGGAGACTACTTAAGGCCATAGAGAGTACGACGAAGACGACAAACATGACAAAAAGGATGAGATAAGCTAGGAGGAGGATGCTTGTAGACCTCTTCATTAAGATGCCCATTGAGAAAGGTATTCTTAACATCCTTCTGAAACAATGGCCAATGGCAAACATCATCAACAGAGTTTAGAGTTCGAAAAAAGGTCATCTTAGCCACAAGAGCAAAAGTCTCATCATAGTCGATACTATATTTCTAAAGAAAACCTTTGGCAACTAAGCAAGCCTAATAGTCTCTAGAGAACCATCAAAATGTGTTTTAAACTTGTAAACTCACTTACAACCAATGAGAACAACTCCCAAGTAGAATTCTTAACAAGATCAAACAACTCATCTTTCATAGTAGACACCCAGTTCAGATTTAGACAAGTCTCCTTATATGACTAGACAAGTCTCCTTATATGACTGAGCCTCAACTTAAGATTGAAAGGTAGACTAAAAAACACAATATAATGAAGAAAAACAAGTATTAGCAAAATTAGGTCTTACTGACGAAGTCCTATGGCGAAGGGGGTAGTGATGAGGAAGATCAAGAGCAGGAGTAGGATCCATAGAATCAGGAGTAGCAACAAGCCTGGAGGTGACCGGTGGTGGCAGAGCCTTCTTGTGAGTATAAACCAACAAGGGAGGAGACCTACCACTTGTAGATTGAATAAAGGGTGATGAAGTAGGCATAATAGGATCAAAAGTAGAGATATATTCATCACAAGGGACATGTTGAATATAAGAATTATAATATTTTTATTTTTAGTAGATTGTATTGTTTGTAATGTTTATATTGTTTCCTAAATTGTATCTTGAATATATTATATATACATGGCCTCCCTCATTCATAGGTAAGCCAAAACACATTCCTTTCATTCTATTTGGTATTAAAGCCAACCCTAGCCATCTTTCTCTTAATCACCCATCACCACTGACTGCATCCTTTCTTCTCCTTAGCCACTGACAACTCTTCCTAGCCTCAGCCCATTACCCGACAGCCCTTCACAGACCTTTTTCTCCACTCAACAGGCTTACCTAACCCTCACCCAGCCTTCGACAACCTTTCCCAGACCTTTTCGTCCACCCGACAGCCTTACCCAGCCCTCACCCAACCCCTGACAGCCCCTCTTCTTCCTTGTTTTCACCTCGGCAGGCCTTCTTTACCCCTGCTAAGGCTCTGGTTGCTGCCGACCAGCCTTTTCTAGTCCTATGTGCTTCCGCTGTCCCTTTAGGGCAATCCGCGGCTGCTTTTTCCCCTCTTAGGGTGTTGTGCTGATATATTAAGCACCTTTTTCTACTCTTTTGCTCCTTTTGGTTACCGGGTTTATTCGCTTGCATTTATTTGGATAAGCCGTTGAGTTTTTTTTCGGCTGCTTGGATTTTTTTTCCCCTAGACTGTGTTGTTGTGTCTCTAGCCCCTATTATCTCACCATGACTAAGCCATCCTTTGATGTTGCATCTAATGTACCCACAAAACCTGTCCTAGTGAGTTCTGATTTTTCTCTCTCATCACACCTATTCATCGCATTATGAGTGTGGTGTTGAATAGGAAAATTTTTGTCGCCTGGAGCTGCTCCCTTAAACTTTATATAGAGGGAAAGGGAAAGCTCATTGGCTCTTATCTTCTACTTCCTAACTTGCTGCAATAGACCCTACCCGTGCATAATGGGATATTGATAATTGTACTATTCTGGGATAGATGTTCAACTCCATGGAGGATCATATTTACCACATGTTTCTCTATTGCGACATAGTTTTGAGTCTTTAGAGTGTCTTGACTTAGATGTATGCCCATGCTCATAATGATGCTCGCATCTTTGAGCTCTATCAGGACATTACTCGTGCCTCCCAGTCTACTTTGGGCCTTTCTGTGTCAAAGTTCTTTGGATATCTTCAAGCTCGTTGGGAAGAATTGGCTCAATATGAGCCCTTGACTTAGTTACCAACAAATACTGCATGTCTTGAGTCCAAACGCCTTGCTCGCCAACACACTTACCAATTTCTCATGGGTCTAAACTCTGATTTTGAATCTCTTCGCACTCGGATTTTGAACACATCACCTATGCCCTCTCTCTATAAGGATTTTGCCACCATTGATAGTGATCAGTGTCATAGGCGTCTGGTTCAGCTGAGCCCTCCTTCCCTATCTTTGGTTTCATCTGATCAGATGGCTCTTGCTGCAAAGTTTGGTTCTCAGGGTTCTCCTGGTCCAATTACGTGTCATTATTGTGGTGCTTCTGGATATGATAAGACCCGTTGCTTCCTACTTCATCCTGAGTTGAATCAACGTTATTCTCACCCTCGTGGTACTGGTAACCCTTTCACTGTTGCTTTAGTGGAGGCTACTCCTGCTCCTAGGTCTCGTAATCTCCCTAATTTATAGGAGTTACAGACTGAGATTGGTCGTTCACTAGTAGTTCTCATAGCCCATTGTCTTCCACTACTGCCATCCTTGCTACAAGTATTTCTACTGCTTTCCATGTTCATTCTGCTAGTCTATCATGGGTTTTGGATTCTGGGGCTAATGATCATGTGAGGGGCGAATTTTTTTTTCTTTCTTTCTTCTTCAATCCCTACTACTATTGCCCAATCTATGTGTCTTGCTGATGGTTCTTCATCCTCTATTCATCATAAGGATGTAGTGTCTTTATCCCTTACCATTACTTTATTGTCTATTTTGCATGTTCCAAATTTTGCCTATAAGCGTGATGGGCTTTACTACTTTAGGGATCTACCGGACGAGCCTTCCTTTTCATCATTAGCTAGTTTTCAGGCCTTTGTTTTGCCTATTTCAATGTTTTGTGTTTTTATATTCAAACTTTAGAATTATGGCATGTTTGTATGGGTCATGTTAATTTTCAATATTTATGTCAACTTTTTCCTTCATTTAATAAAGCTTGCAAAGATTTTAAATTTCATTGTGTGTTTTGTGAGTTGTCTCAGCATACCCGTACTAGCTGTATCCCTCATATGACTCGTGCTCCTAATACTTTTGATCTTATACATGCAGATGTCTGGGGTCCTTCCCCTGTCACTGCTTTTTCTAATCATAGGTATTATGTGACTTTTATTGATGATCACACTAGATGCACTTGGGTTTATCTATTTCGTTGTAAGTCTAACGTGTTTCCCATTTTTGTTCAGTTTTTTCAAATGGTTAAAACTCAGTTTCATACAGTTAGGAATATATGTTCTAATAATGATGGGGAATATATTTCTAATGAATTTCGTTCCCATCTCAATCAAACTGGTATTCTTCAACAACTTACTTATCCTCAGACCCCTGAACGCAAAAACCGTCATATTATGTCTGATATCTAATGTCCTTTTCGGGGTATAGGTGTTCCCAAGTCTTATTGGCATATAGCTGTCCTTACTTCCGTTTTCCTCATTAATAGGACCCCTAGTTGTGTGTTGCATGGTCTCACTCCGTTTCATATCCTTATGCCCACTACCACTTTATTTCCTCTCTTACCTCATGT